GTATAATAATCAAATCATTCATACTCATTTATCTTCTTTAACATTGAACATTATATGAGGTTGTGCACATTTGTTAATAGTTCTACTAGGTTTGTTATTATTTTTTTAAAGAGATTTTTGCTACAGGGCTCGCCAGAGAGAGAGAGACAGACAGACAGAGGTGAGAGATCACCCCCGGGGGATGACCATGCCACAATCCCTTCTCCTCTATTCTCCTCTTGGGATTTTGGGCTTGTATGTACATATGCTTGGCATGAGTTTGAAGTCACTGGGTCTGGGACTCAAACTGCAGTTGACCATGTGGGAGTCCAGTGATGTAACCACCATGCCATCTGCTGGTCCCTAGGTGTATATTTTTTAAAATATGTATTAAATTGTGCATTTAATATATTTTTAAGTATGTGTACATACATTTTTAAGTATGTATTAATCTACTTTGTGTCAAATGACAGAATTTTGTTTTTTGTGGCTGAGTGTCCATTGTGTCTGTGCCATATTTTCTCAATCCTTTCTTCAGTTCTTAGGCACTTAGGGTGATTCCATGACTTAGCTATTGTGAATAAAGCTGCATAAAACTGGATGTACAAATATCTCTCCTGTCCTTTCGGTATACATTTACCTAATAGTGGGATTCCAGGGTTATATGATAACTCTAATTTTAGATTTTTTTGGACTCTCCATACTGTTTTCATAGTGGTTTACTAATTTATATTACCACCAGAAGTGCATAATGGTTCCGTTTTCTCTGCAACCTTGCCAACACTTGTTTTTCTTTTCTTCCTTTCTTTTCTTTTCTTTTTTTTTTTAGACATTTTGGCCTTAGGGCACATGCACTTGCTGGAGACTAAGAGAGAGAATCGGTGAGAAGGAAAGTGAGAACTCACCCCAAGGGAGGATGGCCATGCTGCAGTCCCTTTTCCTCTATTCTCCTGCGGGATCTTGGGCACACATGTACATGTGCCCAGTATGAGTTTCAAACCACCAAGTCCAGGGCTTGAACTGTGGCTGGCCACGTGGGAGTCCAGCAATATAACCGCTATGCCATCTGCTGGCCCCTCTTTTATTTTGATCATAGCTGTTCTGAACTAGGATTAGGTGATATCTCAGTGTGGGTTTGAATTGCATCTTCCTTATCATAAAAGAAGCTGAACGCTTTTTCATAAATTTTCCTACCATTCATATATCTTCCTTTGAGAATTGTCTGTTTAAGGGACCAGCATTTGGCATAATGGCTATGTCACTGGATTCCCATGTAGTCGACTACAGTTTGAATCCCGGGCCCAGTGGCTTAAACTCACACTGGGCACGTGTGCGTGCGTGCCCAAGATCCCAAGAGGAGAATGGAGAATTATCTGTTTAAGTCAATTGTCCATTTTTATTGTCAATCCTTTGTCTAAAGTATAGTTTGAAAATATTTTCTCCCTTTCTTTTCTTTTTTTTTGGGGGGGGAGAGATTTTCACTATAGGGCACGTGTGCTCGCCAGACAGAGAGAGACATAGAGACAGAAAGCGAGAAATCACCCCCCAGGGGGGATGGTCACGCCGCAACCCCTTCTCCTCCATTCTCCTCTCGGGATCTTGGGCACGCACGCACACGCGCCTGGCGTGAGTTTTAAGCCACCAGGTCCGGGACGTGAACCGCGGTCGACTACGTGGGAGTCCAGCGACATAGCCATTACGCTAACTGCTGGTTCCCACAAATATTTTCTCCCTTTCTGTGAGTTGTCTCTATTTACTGTTTCTTTTGCTGTGCAGAAGCAAGAAGATAATTACACGGTGAAATTTTGTCCTTAAAGAAAAAAAAAAGCAGTAGGATGGACCAGTGGCTTGAAAAACATGCCAGGTGCGCGTGTGTGTGTGTTTGCCAAAAAAAATCCCTAGAGGAGACTGGAAGAGAAGGGATTATTGCAATATAGCCACCCATCCTAAGGAGAGCTTTTACATTTTCTCTCTCTCCGGCAAGTGCACATGCCCTGTAGCAAAAAAGAAAAAAAAAAAAGCAGTGGGCAAAAGAAAACACTTATTTGTGGACCACCCAGTAGTATGGTGGTTAAGGCACCTGGTTCCTACATGGCTGACTGAACGATTCATGACCCAGACTCAGTGACTGGAAAACTGCTATGCTGTCTGTTGACCCCCTTTTCAGGGGGGCATGTGTGTATCATTCCCAAAATCCTGAGAGGAGACTGGAGGAGCAGGGATTGTGTTGTTTCCATCTTCCCTGGGGGCAGTGATTGCCTGCTTTCCCTCTCTCTGTTTATCTCTCTCCACTGAGTGCACATGCCCTATAGCAAAAAAAAAGAAAATACTCTTTTGTAATCTCACTAAAACATCACCAGTGTAAACATTCTGATATAGCATTTCCTTCTGATCTTTCTTCTGTGTATATATTTGGGCTCATTTTTACAGATGGCGCCAATCATGCTGAGTACATCCATTTTATACCCTGCTTTTGGCACTTGGTGTTATATTTTAGGCACCAGTTAATTGTCTATATGTTCCTTGAATGTGTATCATAGTTTCTCTAAGTATTCACCTATTGTTGGGTATGTGTAGTTATTTCCATTTTTTTTTGGTTTTGTTCCCCCCCACTACTGTATTGTGGAGATACATATAGTGACATTGATATGTGTAAGTGTGTATGTACATAAAATTCACCGTCTTAACCATTCGAAGTGTAGAACTCAGTGTGAATTAATTCACAATGTTGCACAACCATCATCCCTGTCCAGTTTCAAAATTCTTCATGATCCCAAATAGAAACTCTGCTCATTAAGCAATAACTTCCCAGACAAGCTCATGGCCTGGTGGTTAAGGCAACTGAATCCACAACTGACCACACAGTTTGAGTCCTGGACTTGGTGGCTTGAGAAACACACTGGTGCATGTAATACGTGGCCAAAAGAGAGAAGTTTTTTTTGGTTTTTGTTTTGTTTTTTAAATTTGCTATAGCGTGCTTGGGCTTACTGGAGACAGACAGAGAGGGAAAGTGAGAAATCACCCTTACCGCCAAAGGGGATGGCCATAGTAGTCTTCTCCTCTGTTCTTCTTTTTTTTCTTTTTTTTGAGAGGTTTTTGCTATAGGGTGCGTGCGCTCGCCAGGCAGACAGAGAGAGACAGAGAGATAGAAAGCGAGAAATCACCCCCCCCAGAGGGGATGGCCACACCACAATCCCTTCTCCTCCATTCTCCTCTCGGGATCTTGGGCACGCATGCACACGCGCCTGGCATGAGTTTAAGCCACCGGGTCTGGGACTTGAACCGTGGTCGACTACGTGGGAGTCCAGTGACATAGCCATTATGCTAACTGCTGGTCCCCTCCTCTGTTCTTCTGTTGGAATTTTGGGCATGCATGCGCACAAGCCCAGAATGATTTTTCAAGCTGCTGGGTCTGGGACTCGAACTGTGCAGTTGGCTTATGTGGAACCCCATGCCTTAACCATCATGCCATCTGCAGGCTCATTCCTAGATTTTTTTTTTTTATGGTTGCTATTATAAATGGGATTGGTCTCTTGATTTATTTTTCAGCTAATTCATTATTGATATATAAAATGCTATTGTCTTATTTTGTTTTAATTGCCAGAGGGCATAAGATAGAGCACGAGCGAGTGCGTGTGCTCACGAACGCATCCGCTGAGGGGATGTGGTTATACTTCAGTCTTTGCCCTCCATTTCTCCATTCTGTCAGGATTTAGGGCATACGTGCACACATGCCTGGTGTGTTTCAAGCCACTGGAGCTGGGATTCGAACTTCTGTCAGCCATGTGAGATCTCGTTCCCTTAACCATTAGGCCGTGGGGCTACCCTGTATGAAACTTTTTTTTTTGTTGTTGACATTTTTGCTTATTTCTTCAAATTCCTTAAAGTGGGGGCCAGCAGACAGCGTAATGGTTATGTCGCTGGATGCCCATGTAATCAACCACAGTTGGAATCCCAGACCCTGCAGCTTAAAACTCACACTGGGTGTGTGTGGGTGCATGCCCAAAATACCCTGAGAAGAGAATGGAGAAGGGATTGCAGCGTGGTCATCCCCCTGGGGGGTGATTTCTCGCTTTCTGTCTCTCTGGTGAGCACATGCACCCTATCGCAAAAATCTGTCTTTAAAAAAAAGAAAAGAACTTAAAAAAAAAAAAAAAAAAAAAAAAAAAAACAGTTCCTTGAAGTGAAATGAATGAATCAAGGAGTATGAGAGTTTGGTACATCATCCCAAATGCTATCCCAAAGGATTGACTTTTTTGCAGCTGCCACAGGTGTCTGAGAAAGTCCTTGTCACCAAACCAACATTATACCCATTATACCTTGGTTGGAGTCTGGTTGGAGTCGGTTACTGTTTTAAATGTTGGAGAGCAGTGTCCATCTCTGGTGGAACAATGGTCCAGCCGCAGAATGGCTCATGTGACATAGCTCCTGATCCCCAACCCAGAGTCCTCCCTCCCTTGGCCCTGATGCCAACCCAGCCCAGGCTTCAGGTCCTTTTCCATCTTATTTCCCAGCCTATCTCTGGTCTATCCCCTTCTCATCTATCCAGCAAAACCGAGGCTGAGCTGGCTTATAAAAGATGTCCTCAGAGGGACCGGCAGATAGCACAGTGGTTATGTCACTGAAATCCCACGTTGTCGACCGCGGTTTAAGTTCCAGACCCGGCAGCTTAAAACTCACATCAGGCATGTGTGAGTGCATGCCCAAAATCCTAAGAGAAGAATGGAGAAGAAGGGATTGCAGCATGGCCATCCCTGGGGGGGCGAGGGGGGTTTTCTCACTTTCTGACACTGTCTCTGTCTGTCTGGCGAGCACATGTGCCCTATAGCAAAAAAAAAAAAAGAAGAAAAGAAAATAAAAAGAAATCTCTCTTCCCCCGCCCCCCAAAAAAATAGATGTCCTCAGAATATGGGGCCTTTGCTGTCACTTTGCCTCCTCTTCAGAAGACCTACACTTCTGTGGTGCCTTCCCACCCTGATGGGTTCTCACAGCGGTTTCTGTCTTCTCCTGCCCTTCTCCAGTTCTACAGCGAGTCAGGCATGCCTACCAAACACCTTTCGGACAGCGTGTGTGCTGTGTGTGGGCAGCAGATCTTCGTGGACGTCAGCGAAGAGGGCATCATCGAGAACACCTACAGGCTGTCCTGCAATCATGTGTATCCTACCTGAGCTGCCAGGCCACGTCTACCCTGCAACCAGCACGTGCCAGTCAGCAAGGAGAGGGGGTGGTCGTGGTGCTGGGCATGCCCTCCAGACGCTTGAGTGGAGGAGGTCTGCAGGAGAGGATGGCACCTTGCTCGCCCTTTCCCACAGATTGGAACCACCCTGTGGTATGCAGTGGATATTGCCGGGCTAGATCAGATAAGAGCCCAAGGCTACAGCGGAGAGATTGTGCTTGCTGGCGCAAGCCTGGACCAGTCACGGGGGAAGAGTACCCTCTAACAGGATTCCTCAGCCGAGAATCAAATCCTCTGTTCCGAATCACACGTCTGATACTTATCACCGCTGTCCTCAGCTCCCATTCTCTGCCTGTGATAGGAGGTCCATGTATCACCTCGTTTGTCCCATGACTACACTGTCAGGTAGGGAGTGTTATCCTCACTGCAGGTGTGAGGGCGCGGGTGCAGAGAGAAGGGACTTACCAGTGAGGAGGGGAGCTGGGATTTGAACATTTCCAGGCTGAGTACACAGGTACCTTGAACACTGGCATGGGCTGGAGTTCCCTCCTGGCTTCCTACCATTTGCCTTGACCAGCGGTGCCCAGATTCCACGAGTTCTGCATCCGCGGCTGGTGCATTGTGGGGAAGAAGCAGACGTGTCCCTATTGCAAAGAGAAGGTAGACCTCAAGAGGATGTTCAGCAATCCGTATCCTTTGTTTGGGTCCTTGTGGAGGTTGGGAAGGAAGTACTGGCCAGTGTCTGGGTCTCCTGGGGCCCCTTTTCTTGCCCCCAACCTCGGGCATGGCCACCATTCTATTTGGGCTCTGTTCCAGGGAAGGTGGGGCGGGTCACGAGGCAGGACCAGCCTTTCAGTTCTGCATCCCTCAGCCACACTGGCAGTAACAGCAGCTGCCCGCGCACTTGCCGTGTGCCCCTGGCGTGGTGTTACGTGCTTCACTGGGATGAGCTCGTTTGATCCTCGAGCAGCTCTGACCTGGGTAGTAGCATCCTCATTTTACAGATGAAATGTTTAGAGGGCGAGTACCTCGTTCAGGGCTGCGTAACCGGCGAGTGATCCCTTACTCGTGCCTGGGCAGGACCTGCAAGGAACAGGGACGGCTGAGGGATCCTTGGTCTCCATCCATGTGTAACACAGGCAGACCCTGTGCTCCCCCGAGCTGCCATTCCTCCCCAGTCACCGTCGCCCCCTCTTCCTCCCGCAGTCTATAGGACAGTGCCCTCACCCTGTCCAGGGAGCTAGCTCTGTACGTCCCCTCCCCAGCTGCCTCTCTCTCTTCTCCAGGTCCCCTCTTCCCTGTATAACAGTCGGCTCCATGGGGCACACCGTGGGCCCAGCATGCTCCCACAGTCACCCAGCAAGAGAAGGGCCCGTCCCTTCTTAGGTTCCTGGAAGCTTGGTTCAGAATAATTTAGCAACTCCATTGCCAAGGCTTGGGAACCTGGATCAGGTGATCTCTCTGGTCCCTTTGCAGGTGTTTCGCCACAGTTTTAGGTGCTTCTCCCTGTGCTGACCTCCCAGGCCCCCTCTCCAGGGCCGCTGGACCTCAGTAAGGGCCCACTGCTCTGCCTGCGGATGGGGTTGACCTTAGAGGCTCTGCAAGCTCACCCACTGTGACCCGCCTCTGGTTCCTGCTCTCTGTGCCTCTGTCACTAGACTCTAGCCCTTCTTTGACCGGGGGAAAACCTTAAGTTTGGGGCATCAAGAGAACCTTGAGGGTTATCTTATCTTGCCTCCTTGCAGACACATTGATGGCACCTCGAGCTGTTATTTCCCACCCCTACAGTCCCCAGCCTTAGCAGGAGGACCCTCTGCATGTTGGTCATGAAGAGTGCAGTCTCACCGCCCCACCTCCCTCCCACTGGGTCCTTCTGCCCTCCCGCCAATGCAGAGGGCTGCAGAGAGGCCAGGCAGCTGCTTGGAGAAAGCAGCTTCCCCCAGGCTGGAAGGTGGGGGGACCCTGGGAAGGCATAGGAGGTCCCTCAGTGCGAGATCATGGGGACAGCTCTGGCATGCAGCCTGTTCTCTTTAACATGCCCACAGCTGGGAGAGGCCTCACGTCATGTATGGGCAGCTGCTAGACTGGCTGCGGTACCTGGTAGCCTGGCAGCCGGTCATCATTGGTCTGGTGCAAGGCATCAACTACATCCTGGGCCTGGAGTAGCGGAGAGCTCCGTGGAGAACCCCCTGCTCACCGCGGACCTCAGGGCACTCTCCTCCCTGCCCAGAGACCTGGGTGGGAAAGACTCAAAGGGGCGCTTGGGCCACTCAGGACCCCTCCGGCTGTGCCTGGGATGGGGGAGGGAGGGGTACGATGGAGAGCCAGCCAGTGGGGCTGTCAGCAGTTGGGGCTTTTTAAAAGAAAACTATTTTGATGAATATATTTAGAAAACCTTTTTTATTGTGGAGCATAGGAACTGCCCCCTGCAGGCCGCCCCCTCCCTGCTCAAGCAGGTGGGAGCAGAGCCGTGGTGTCGAGGAGGCTTCTCACCCCTGGCTGAGAACACCTGTGGGTTCTCAGATAGCTGAAAGCCTCAGCCCACCCACTCCCCTCTCCTTCCCTCGGTGGGGCTCAAGCTTGGGACACTCGGTTCGATGTGGAAGAGCTGGCGACTTAGCCTGGTGCCTCCAAGGAGCCCTGGGAGGTGAACTGTGGACACGGGGTGGGGGTGTGTCTGACCTGACCCGACCCCCTTGCCCAGGAGCTGTAGGCTAATTGAGGAAAGCGAGACCTGCTCCATGAGTTCCTAGCAGGGAAACCCTGAACCTCGGAAGTCACTGATGTGTTTGGAGACAACTGAAAGAATCAGGAGCCCTACGACGGGGCCAGGGTCGGAGTCCGGAGTCGGCAGGGATAGAGGCCACCCGCATGTGGTCGGGCTGTGGGGTCTTCTGTCGGCAGCAGCGCCCGGGGCCCCCTTGTGCAAACTGATTCTTCAGCTCGGAAGTGGTGACATGTGCCAAAGGCCATCCTGCCACCACATCACTTCCTTCCCGAAAAACCTGAGTCAGAGTGTGTGCGCGTGTCATGCACACGACAGGACTGTGACACTGTTATGTGGGTCCGCTTCTCTTTGTCATCAGATAACATGCTTTGGAAGCTGGGGATTCCCAGCCCAGGGAGCATCCGCATGTGGGCTTTGTCATTCACGGGCCAGACCGGGGCCTGACCCAGGAGTGGCGTGGGTGGTAAGCCAAGGCCCAGGTGAGCTCAGGTTCTGAGAAGGGGCTTCCAGGCAAGCCCAAGCCTTGGTCCTGGGGGTTTTGAAGAAACTGGGAGGACAAACATGGCCCTGAGTGCTGGGTTTCTAAGGAATGTGGCCCTTCCAGGACAGCGAGGACCAAGCAGGATCTTGTCGCTCCGTCTGAATAAAGCTCCGTGAGCTGGGTTGGAAAGCTGAGCATCCATCTGGCCTTTCTTCTCCCCACCTCTT